CGGGCAGGAAGAACCCATCAGCTGATGGCAGGAGCAGGTTTCTGAAGAACTGGAAAACCCTGGAGGATAAGAATGTCTCGGCCAGGCTTTCTGCTGGTGGTGGTGGTTTGGGAGGGGCAGTTGGGAGAGGGGCCTCAGCACAGCGGTGAAGAGCTGCAGGAATGGCAGCTCACAGTCTGGTTATCAGAAGAACAGGCAAGGAGCAGGGAGCAGGGCAATGTGGCTGGGAGCTGGCTGCAACCCCTGTGTGCTGGGCCTCCAGCGCCTGTGTAGAGGTCCACTTTTCCTTTTTCGGCAGGAAAAACCCAAGAAAAGCAAGGAAGAGCTTTAGGTAGGTTCTCACTTTCAAGTGATCACTCTATTGGTTGTAAGAAAGACAAACTGGAGGGTCACAGGGGAGGTGGGGACAGCCTAAGCACCCCTTAGAATTTTGGGTGTTTGGCTGGGTGTGGTGGCTCACGCCTGTAATCCCAGCACTTTGGGAGGCTGAGGCAGGCGGATCGCCTGAAGTCAGAAGTTCCAGACCAGGTGGCCAACATGGTAAAACCCTGTCTCTACTAAATATGTAAAAATTAGCTGGGCATGGTGGCATCTTTAGACATGGTGGCATCTCAGCCTCCCAGCTACTTGGGAGGCTGAGGAAAGAAAATCACTTGAATCCAGGAAGGCAAGGTTGCAGTGAGCCGAGATTGCACCACTGCACTCCAGCCTGCAGAGCAAGACTCTGTCTCAGAAAAATAACAAACAGCTGGGCACAGTGACTCACGCCTGTAATCCCAGCACTTTAGGGGGCCAAGGCGAGTGGATCACGAGGTCAAGAGATCAAGACCACCCCGACCAACATGATGAAACCCCATCCCTACTGAAAATACAAAAATCAGTTGGGCATGCACCTATATATAGTTCCAGTTACTCAGGAGGCTGAGGCAGGAGAATCGCTTGAACCTGGGAGGCAGGGGTTTCAGTGAGCTGAGATAGCACCACTGCACTCCAGCCTGGGTGACAGAGTGAGACTCCATCTCAAAAAAAAAAAAAAATTACGGGTGTTCGGGGTGAGAGTCTGGATGCTCAGCCAGCCCCCAGTCCCCAGGTTGTCCCCAGGCACACTTGCAAATGTGCCTCTGTCATCGTCCAGCTCGCCTACCTCACAAGCCTCCTGGCTCTAGCTGTTCAGACCCTCGGACAATACAAGGGCATATGGTAAACACTCGCAAATGCTTTTGAATAGTTCAGTGAGTGGAATAATTAATTGATTAATCACTCTGCTGAGTAAATTGCAGCTGAACATAAGTACAATTCTCTTTTTCTTTTCTTTCTTTCTTTTTTTTAAACAGGGTCTCTCTGTTGCCCAGGCTGGAGTGCTGTAGCAAGATCTCAACTCACTGCAACCTCCCCTCCTGGGTTCAAGTGATTCTCATGCCTCAGCCTCCCAAGTGGCTGGGACTACAGGCATGTGCTACCACACCCAGCTAATTTTTGTATTTTTAGTAGAGACGGGGTTTTACCATATTGGCCAGGCTGGTCTTGAATCCCTGACCTTGTGATCTGCCCGCCTTGGCCTCCCAAAGTGCTGGGATTACAGGCGTGAGCCTCTTTCTGTTTTATTTCTTTTGGAGCAGGAGTCGGGGGGAGACGCTGAGAGTCTGTTTCAGGTTATTGTGACTGATATTAAACTTTGATGGCGCTCTCTGAGGTTGCAGAAAGGGGTTGGTCCTGGGCTTCACACAGGTGTGGCAGGGATTTGCCCTCCCTATTGTAAGGAGCCACAGAGACTTGCCCGGGGCAGCGTGACCCAGACTGTAAGAGGCTGGAGCCTGGGAGGTGCATTTAAAGTCCCCAGGGCACATGTGGGTGGGTGGTCCGAGGATGATTCTGGAGACAAAGGGTTGTGCTTAGGGGTCTAAGACTATTTTTCACCTTGGCCTCAGGTGACAGTGAATCATATAACCATTAAGTGAGGCCCAGAGGTCGATGTGCCCCAGGTCACACAGCTGGTTAGTGAGGGGAAGCCCAGACTCTGGGGTCCAAGGTACAAAGACTTTTCATCCACCAAGAGGCAAGCTTTCCAGCTTCGTGCAAGCAGTTCTGAGTAATGAAAAGCGACGGGACCCGTTTGCACTTTATTCCGTGAACCATGCAAAACTCACAGCAGTCCCCAGCTGCCCGAAGGAAGGGGCAAGGCCAAGGCGGGGGGAGCACAGCTGTGCTGCAGGCGGGCGCCTGCACCTTCGACTCCCTTCCTGCTCGAACAGGGTTTACTGCAGTTCTGCTCTCCCACTGTGTTAATTACAGGCACTCTGGAAAGTTCCTGCGGGAAGAAGACCTAATGGAAGAAGCGAAGCCACCCACACCCAGTGCCTTTGTGAGCCTTCGCCTGGCCTCTGCTCTTTTCATGGCTTCCCCTTTTACATCTCTGAGATAACATGAGCAAGCATGCTACTTTTACAGACAAGGAAACTGAGGCCTCAGTAAGTAAATGACCGGGCCGTGGTCACTTGCCATAATGGCCAGCAAGGACCAGATCATAGCACCTTGGGGTGAGAAGACATGGGATTAGGTTTGACCATCTTCCAATGCAGGAATGCCCAAGTCCAGCAAGGGCCAAATTATGGCTGCTCCCCTTGGGAGTGCTGGCTGGGAAGGCTCCTGTCTCAGCCAGGCTCTGTGGTAGGGATGGAGTGTAGACGGGGCTCAGTCCCCCTTGTCAGGTCAAACACGCCATGATCTCTGCCTTCACCTTCAGCACAGACAAAAAAAAGTTAAAGCTACCCCTCTACCACACACACAAAAATACATATGACAGCATTTGTTCTTGACATAATTTTTCTGTAGCTTTGCGAAAATGATATTTACCAGGAGGTGGAGGTTGCAGTGAGCCAAGATCATGCCACTGCACTCCAGCCTGGCTGGGCGAGGTGGCTCATGCCTATAATCCTAGCACTGTGGGAGGCTGAGGCAGGCGAAGCACCTGAGGTCAGGAGTTCAAGATCAGCCTGGCCAACATGGTGAAACGCCATCTCTACTAAAACTACAAAAATTAGCAGCACTTTGTGGCGGGCACCTGTAATCCCTGCTACTCAGGAGGCTGAGGCAGGAGAATTGCTTGAACCCGGGAGATGGAGTTTGCAGTGAGCCGAGATTGTGCCATTGCACTCCAGCCTGGGTGACAGCGAGCCATTCTCACTCAAAAAAAAAAAAAAAAATTAGAAAATAAAAATAATATTTAGTGAACACAGAGGAGATTCGATAGATTATTGGAAAGTTTAGCCACAGTCAGAGAAAACTGCTTGAACCATAACATAGCAAATGAAAAGTACATTGACTGACTTCCTCATGACTTCTGTTCAACAGGAGAGTATTTAAAGCAACTTTGCTCCAATTGTGAGGCTCTTCAAATACATTTTACAATCAACACAACTTTAATCAAAACAGCTCTAAACAGTGAATAGAGAGTCACAGAAAAAATGTAGTATACACACCTGGAAAAAAATATTTTCTTTTTTATTCCAAGCCCCTCATTAAAATTTCATTGGAAAGACACACTAAAGTTTTTAGCAAGCAGCAGGTGGTAAAGAGAAGTTAATTGTGCATTAGCACCATTAGTAATTTAAGAAGTAGAAAATGTCACTTATATACTGTTTATTTAAAAATGTTTCCTTTAGGCCATGAGTGGTGGCTCACCCCTGTAATCCCAGCACTTTGGGAAGCCTAGAAGGGTGGATTACCTGAGGTCAGGAGTTCGAGACCAGCCTGGCCAACTTAGTGAAACCCCATCTCTACTAAAAATACAAATTAGCTGGGCATGGTGGCGTGTGCATGTAATCCTGGCTACCCCACCTACTCAGTAGGTTGAGGCAGGAGAAACACTTGAACTCGGGAGGTGGAGGTTGCAGTGAGCCAAGATCACACCCACTGCACTCCAGCCTGGGCAACAGAGCGAGACTCTATCTCAAAAAAATAAAAAATAAAAATAAAATGCTTCATTTAGTGTCTTATTTTAATGACAGCAGAAAAGATTCCTAGTTTTATATATGTTCATTCAAAGTTTACATTCTCCCCCTCCTAATTTTAGCTCTAGTTTTTTTATTTTTGTTTTTTGTTTTTGAGACAGAGTCTTGCCCTGTCACCCAGTCTGGAGTTCAGTGGTGCAATCCGGCTCACTGCACCCTCTGCCTCTCAGGTTCAAGTGATTCTCCTGCCTCATCCGCCGGAGTAGCTGGGATTATAGGCACCGCCACCATGCCCAGCAGCTCTGGGTTTCTTTTGTTTGTTTGCTTTTTGAGTTGGGATCCTTGCTGTGTCACCCAGGCTGGAGTGCACTGACACATTCATAGCTCACTGCAACCTCAAACTCCTGAACTCAAGTCATCCTCCCCGCTCAGCCTCCTGATTAGTGGGGGACCCAATTAGCAGGGACCACTGCAAGCTGGAGAAGTTATGGAAGGGATATTCTGCAAGATGAGGACAACCGATTATCAGAAGGAGTGAGAGCATTGCTAAAACGCACGCTCTCAGGCCGCAGTGGCTCACACCTGTAATCCCAGCTCTTTGGGAGGCTGAGGCAGGCGAATCACGAGGTCAAGAGATCAAGACCATCCTGGCCAACATGGTGAAACCCGGTATCAAGGAAAAAAAAACAACAAAAAACCTGGTGCTCTGAATGAAGAGACCCCCCCCCCAAACAGGCTTTGTGTGAGCAATATGGCTGTTTATTCACCTGGGTGCAGGTGGGCTGAGGCCGAAAAGGGCGGTGGGATAGGAGTTGGTTTTATAGGTTTGGGGTGGGCAGTGGAAAGTTACGAAAGTTAAATTTAGGGAGGTCTTTTGCAAGCTGGGAGGGGGTCGTAGGGTGTGGCGTCAAGGCTGGCCCAGGTCAGTTACAAAGTCCAGTGGCCTTGTCGATGGAGGCGGGAGTAAGAAACAGTAGAGAGTGTCTCAGAGTTAAGCAGGCTCTGCTGGGGTTGATCATTTCTTCCTCTTTCTTCTTCCTATCATTTTTTGAAAATATGGACCGCTTCTCGAACTTGAGTGTCATCCTTGCACAGGGGCCATGCTAATCTCCTCTGTACCGTTCCCATTTTAGCATGTGTGAGGCCGAAGCGAGCACCATTTCTTCCTCTTTCTAGGATCTTACGGCCGTTTCAGGTTTTCTAATTCCAGAAGGCCCTCCAGAAGTGTACCTGCGATTCACGGGGTCGCCACGCCGTCCACAGCGCGGTCAGACCTTACAAACATGATCCTGCTCCTCTAGGTAACAGGAATGTTTCCAGCAATGGAAGGATTAAAGCAATCCTTCAGGAAAGTTTCATGTGGCCTTGGTCTGTAGAATGGACATGATGGGGAGGAGGAAGGCGGGAGGTGGGCACATCAGTCTTGAGGGAGGTGGCTTTTCTACAACTGAGAGACAATAGGTCACCGGAGTGGGAAAGACGGGCTTTGAGACCAAATTGAGTGAGTTCCAGTCCCAGCTGTGCCCCTTGCTAATCACATGACTTTGAATAAATTACTTAACCTTGTGCTTTGGTTTTCTGCTTCATAAAATATGGATATGAAAGTCTAAAACCCGTCTTGTAGGGTTTCTATGAGAATTAGAAAATGTGTGTTAAAAGCCTTAGCACCTGGAACGTGGTAAACTCCCAAATAAACCAGAGCTTTTTATTATCGCTGTTGTGTCATTTGTGACACTACACAAAGCTGAAGAAAAGTCTTTTAATGTCGTTAACAGCAATAACACAAAGTTCCCAAAAGGCACCCACCTACGATCTTTTTTTTTCTTTTTTTTTGAGACAGAGTCTCGCTCTGTTGCCAGGCGCCAGGCTGGAGTGCAGTGGCGTGATCTTGGCTCACTGCAACCTCTGCCTCCCAGGTTCAAGCAGTTTTCCTGTCTCAGCCTCCCGAGTAGCTGGGACTACAGGCATGTGCCACCACACCCGGCTAATTTTTGTATTTTTAGTAGAGACGGGGTTTCAGCATGTTAGCCAGGATGGTCTCGATCTCTTGACCTTGTGATCCGCCCGCCTTGGCCTCCCAAAGTGCTGGGATCACAGGCGTGAGCCACCGCACCCGGCCTCAATCTACTTCTTTCTTAGCAGCAACTTAAAAGAATCAATTGAGGCTGGGCACGCAGTGGCTCACAAATCCCAGCACTTTGGGAGGCTGAGGCGGGCTGGTCAGGAGTTCGAGACCAGCCTGGCCAACACGGTGAAACCCCATCTCTACTAAAAATACAAAAATTAGCTGGACATAGTGGCGGGTGCCTGTGAGTCTGTGGCAGGAGAATCACTTGAACCCAGGAGGTGGAGGTTGCAGTGGCTGAGACTGTGTCACTATACTCCAATCTGGCCAACAGAGTGAGAATCTGTCTCAAAAAGAAAGAATCGATTGGTCTCTGTCTTGAGCTGGTCGTTGCTGACTACCGTGGGTGCAGCTTCCGAAAGAGGAAAAGCAGGATCTCGCATTAAGCACCTACACTTCTACCCCCGACAACTCAGTCCTCCCCACCTCTGCAAGTCTGTCCTGGAAAACACTCAGCCAGAGCAGCTCCCTGCAGCGGCTGAAGACCAGCCGACCTGAAACAGAGGGTCCCTAGAACCCCAGCTGCTGCCTGAGTGTCCCAGCAGCTCCCAGGGGAACCTTGTTCAGCTGTGCCAGCTAGGAACACTCAACAGGAGGGGTGGGTTTTCAAGTCTGGGAAGGAGACGGATGAAATCATTGGTTTCACAAACACCTGAGTGTTTTAGGTCCATTCTCTTCCTGAATCTCAGCGCCGTGGATGGATACATCAGAGTCAGCTACATCAAATATAGATCAGATGTTGTAATCAGCACCTCAGTACATTCCCAAAGCCGAAAAACAATGATTTCTAATTCCATCCATAGGACAATTTTATACGTGCAGGCCAAGCTGTCTAACCCACCGCTTGCAGGCTGCAGGCACGCTCTGAATTCAGCCCAACACAAATTCGTAAACTTTCTTAAAACATTATGAGATTTTTTTGTGATTGTTTTTCTTTTGTAGCTCATAAGCTATCGTTAGTGTTCGTGTATTTTATGTGTGGCTCAAGACAGTCTTCTTCTTCCTTTGTGGCCTGGGGAAGCCAAAAGATTGGATACCCTGGTAACTAGGCATTCAGGTAAAAACAGAAAAAAAATCAGCAAGAATCCAAATATGACGTCAGTTAAACCTGAATATCAAGACATTTGGGAACCTAAACCCCAAATCACAGTAATGATTACAGGGTACATATTCCCCCACAGTGATTAGAATTTGTTTACTTATTTTTAAAAGTATGTTAGAAGCCAGATGCATTGGCTCATTCCTGCAATCCCAACACTTAGGGAAGCAGAGACGGGAGGACCTGCCTGAGCAATGTAGCAAGACCCCATTCTCCACAAAAATGAAAACCACCAACATCCGATCAGAAATGCCTGAGGAACAAGTGGAAGAGCTGGCAGACCCAGGGTCAAGAGGAAGATGCCCTAGAGAAGAGAAATGCGCGGGCCTGGTCACCTCAGGGTTTGGTTCATGCTGTTTGACTAAAGCTATCTGTGGGCAGTCACTCGGTACTGGTCAAGTCGAGGAGAATTTCAGAGCCCAGATATAAGGATGTGGCATCTTTTGTGAAAGGCACATTCTGGTTTTCTCCAATCATTGTTGGTGGATGCCCGGCACTGACTGATCTAGGACTATAAAAAGAGCTTTGGTGGCCAGGCGCGGTGGCTCACACCTGTAATCCCAGCACTTTGGGAGGCCAAGGCGGGTGGGTCACTTGAGTTCAGGAGTTTGAGACCAGCCTGGCCAATATGGTAAAATCCTGTCTCTACTAAAAATACAAAAATTAGCCAGGCTTGGTGGCCCATGCCTGTAATCCCAGCTACCCAGGAGGCTGAGGCAAGAGAATCACTTGAACCTGGAAGGCGGAACTTGCAGTGAGCCAAGATTGCACCACTACACTCCAGCCTGGGCCACCGAGTGAGACCTTGTCTCAGAAAAAAAAAAAAAAAAAAAAAAAGGCCTGTGGGTAAAGTCAAGTATTTATTTATCCCCAATCATTCATTTAGCAGTAAGCATCTGGAAAGGCTCTGGGAGTGCAGAAATGAACAGCATGATCTTTGCACCTTCCCAGGGCCCAGGCTATGAGATCAGTCACTCTAGCACGACAGGTGACTTGCGGGTGGGGCGACACAGCCATGAGGTGCACTCTGCAGTCTTCAGGGACCCTATACCTTTTCTTAAACTCAGGTCCTTAAATTCTTAACCTCAGGCCCTCATCTGTGAAGACGCTGATAAGATACCTAATGGGCCAAGTCACAGTGAGTTCTGAAATGTGTCTAACAGATGGCGGCCCCTCTAGAAACAGTAACTGTTATCCATAATTTATGATGATTATTAGAACAACAAAGGGGCGGATGAGGCCCACCAGGGGAAGGAGTGCTTTCTCCTGCTCAGCAGGGGCCAGAAAAGCTTAGCAGAGAAGGTGACATTTGAACTGAATCTCAAGTGAGAGTTTTAATCTGGGTTCATGAGCCTCTATAGGTTCAGGTTATGGGCATCAGAGAGCATATGAGGTCTCTTCAGTTGTATTCCAAACCTTATGTTGTATGCATATGGGCGGCCCATACTTTCCAATATACTCTTTTTTTCTCTCTCTCTTTTTGAGACAGTGTCTCACTCTGTTGCCAGGCTGGAGTATAGCGGTGCTATACTGGCTCTCAACCTCCTGGGCTTGAGAGATCCGCCTACTTCACCCTCCCAAGTAGCTGGGACTACAGGCATGTGCCACCATCCCCAGCTAATTTTCTGTGTATTGTTTTGTAGAAACGGGCTTTTGCCCAGGTTGGTCTTGAACTCCTGGCCTCAAGCGATCCGCCTGCCTCAACCTCCTGAAGTGTTGGGACTATGGGCATGAGTCACTGGGCCCAGTCCCAACACATTCTGTAAGGGTTAGTGACTACCTCAGTTAAGAGCTACCTACACTGGTCCAGAAGTGTAACTAAAAGTTTGCCAGGTAGGCAACATAGGGAAGGTCATTTCCAGCACAGCAAAGTTTCTAAACAGTGTAGAAAGAAGCAAAGTGGCTTCCTGGGCATGTGACCTACACGGTCAGAGTCCAATACTCAGAGGGACTGTGCTCCCTTTAATGCGCTACTGTCACCCTCAAACTTTTTTTTTTTTTTTTTTTTGAGATGGAGTCTCACTCTGTCACTAGGCTGGAATGCAGTGTCGCCATCTCAGCTCACTGCAACCTCTTCTTCCCTGGTTCAAGTGATTCTCCTGCCTCAGCCTCCTGAGTAGCTGGGACTACAGGCACGCCACCACACCCAGCTAATTTTTGTATTTTTAGTAGAGATGGGTTTTTACCATGTTGGCCAGGCTAGTCTCGAACTCCTGTCCTTTTGATCAGCCCACGTTGGCCTCCCCAGGTGCTGGGATTACAGGCGCGAGCCACTGCACCTGGCCAATGATTTCTTAACAAGAATCAAAGCAGCAAGCCCAGGACCCTGGGAACAGCAGCGCAGGTGGAGGGGCAGAGCTTGAGAGTGGCAATGCGGTTGGCTTCAGGCTCCAGGGAAGCCAGAGGTACATCAAGTCCTGAAAGCGAGCAAAGCACTTCTCACAGAAATGGGGCGCACTCGCCGGAAAGCTGAAATAAGAGCCTCGCAATTTATCTGGCCTGTGCTTCTGAGAAGCGTGGCATTTTCAGAAAATTCCCAACAGGTGGTGGGCACAGGTGCTTAGTGGGAAACGGTAGGAGATGAGGTTAAAAAAGAGAGACCAGGTGAAAGATGTAAAGATTCTAACCTGGCTAATTTTCGTATTTTTGTAGAGTTGGGGTTTCACCATGTTGGCCAGGCTGGTCTTAAATTCCTGACCTCAGGTGATTCCCCTGCCTTGGCCTCCCAAAGTGCTGGGATTACAGGTGTAATCCCACTTGAGCCACTCGATGAGGTCTTCTCCTCCACACGTGCCACCTCCTGAACTCCGTTGGTTCCTTCACCTCATCTTAGGAACTTGCCAAGCGGCTCCCAAATCTAAAAATCAGCAGCTGCTCCCTGCCCTCGGTCGTTCCCTCCTAGCTGAGTCTCCACGCCCTCGCCTCACTCTCTG